CCCCGTGGGGAGAGGCCGGGCGGCGCCCAGGCCGGGCGTCGCAGCCGACTCGCGCCGCGGAAACAGCCCGGTGTCGACTTTGCCGTTGCGTTTTGGTTTTGCAGTTTTGCGCACGACCCCGGCCCCCGCACCACCCCGGCCCCCGCACGACCCCGGACCCCGCACGACCAGGGCCCCGCACGACCCCGGCCAGGGAGCAGCCCCGGCCGGTGTGTGTCGCGCCTTCCTCTTGGGCACCAGGCTGAGACCGCAGGCCCAGGCCCAGGCCCAGGCCGCTGGCCGGGTGACGCGGGGCAGCCCGGGGACCCTCCCCGACAATGGAGCGGTGGAGAGGACCCAGGGGCGTGTCCCCCGCAAGCGCCCCTGAGCCGAGCCCGCGCGTTGCCTTCTGCCAGACCCGCGGGGTCAGCCGCCCCACGCTGGGGCCCAAAGGTGCTGGCCTGCCGCACCCGGCCTCCTGGAGCTCCCCGGAGGCCCCAGGCCCGGGAAGTCCGGCCTGCGGGGAGAGGGCCTGAGCCCCACGCAGGCCCCCGACCACGGCTCCCCGAAAATGCGGTCTGTAGTGTTCTTGTTTTGTTACCCGCTTGCTCTTATTTCAGGAGCTGTCTCGCTCCTGTGGCCAGTTGTGCAGTACACCCGCACCGGTCACACCCTGAGTAGTCTCGCTGGCTGCCCTCCACTTTATTGAATGTGCCCACACTGGTAGCTGGCCACTGGCCGCGCTGCTGGCCTGATTCATCCTCGGGAGCCATCACAAACCTTTTCAGGCCGCCAGCACCGGTCATAGTAGCAGGGAGCCCGGGTCCACCCTAGTGCCCACTGCCGTCAGGCCTGGGGCTGCGGCGAGCTGCTCCGCCTTGCTCTCCTCCGTCACAGCCAGGCTGGCCCGTGGGAGGACCCACAGCCGCAGCTCAGAGGTCGGCGCCTCGCCAGTGCCCACCCGGGCTGGCTAACAGCCCCCTCGTACCCGGGGGTCGCGGGCTCCGCCTGGTCCCCTGGCCAGCGCTCCCCGACCCCTGCCGGCCCCTGGCAGCTCAGGGAGGTGCACGAAAGGAGGTGCCCCCTTTTCAGTTTAATACTTCACGGTGGGGCCAGCCTTGACCTTACACACGGCACCCCAACTCTCGGGGCTCCAGGGCACGGGCCTCAGGAGAGCCGGTCTCCGGCAGAAGGACCCTGAGCCGGCCGCTGTGGCCTGGCCGCCGGCCACCTGTCCAGGACCAACCTGCTCCGCTCCTGGGCTTCACGCCAACACGGTGCAGCCGTGCCTGCGGGAGCGGGGATCCCTGGCCGGAGCCAGGCTACAGCCTCGGGCGCCAATGCCACGTCGGGCGGTCGGCCAGTGGGCCAGGTGTGCCAGCTCCCAGCGTCGCCCACGGCCTCCCCCAGCAGGGGCCGCGGCGCCCTCAGAGCCCCAAGTTCAGCCGATGCCTCTTTGGTGGCGCTGGAAGAGAGCTCCGAAGGGTCCGCGGGGTCTCCCCTGCAGGGCTCCCCGTCGCTGAGGGGCGCCCCTCCCTCGGAGGCGCAGCTGGCACGCGCCCTCACAGCACACGCACAGGCGCGCGCATGGGCACACCACGCACATGCACAGCACACAGACGCGCACAGCGCACAGCACTGCACACGGGCACTCAGCACACGCATGCACACAGCGCACGCGCCACGCAGCAATGCACACGCAAGGCGCACACGCTGCACACAGCCCACAGGCACGCACCGGGCACACAGGCGCCCCCGTGCAGCCCACGGGCACGCACCGGGCACGCACCGGGCACACACAAACACACGCGCCCGCCCACCCGGCCTGTGCTGCCTCGGGTGTCTTTCCTGGGGCCTCCGTGACAGATGTGCCACTGGCAGTGGGGCCCCAGGA